GATCACGGAAGCTCTCTCGCTCGTCGGCCGGCCCCTCTCGCCGGATGAACAGATCCTGTTTGTTCTTCGCGGACTCAGGCCGGAGTTCAGAACGATGGCCAACTCCCTCACCGCCTCTGGAACACCAGTAACTCTGTCTGAACTCTCAGATTTTTTCCAGGCACAGGAGTTCATCCACGAAGATGATTTCGCAGTTGATGTTATCACATCTTTGCTTGTTATTATAGTTATTTTGAATCATCTCAGTATTTAAGTTCTTTAATTTTGCTTATTTAATACATATTTTCCTTGCTATTATCATTTAATTATGGTTCACACTTGTTTTGAATGTTTTACGGTGTTTGTTAGTGTTTTTGAACCATTGTAGGTCAATTCTATGAGCAAGGGAAGTTCAAGGATGAGTTTGGAGCAATTTTGGACAAGTCGGGGCCCAGAGGACTCGACGCGTCGAGCCCTCTGGGCCCAAAGGCTCGACGCGTCGAAAATTTCCAGAAAGTTTGGTGATCGGGACCTGCTGGTCTCAACGCGTCGAGACTAACTCTCGACGCGTCTAACGAGCGCCGCAACAATTCTTCCGAAGGCGCTGGAATCAAAGGAATTAAAAGGGGCGTTGATGTTTATCTCCAATTCATATTCCAAATCCCAATTCAACTTCAATTCCAAGTTCCAATTCCAACTTCAATTAAATACGGCAATTTCTTTATTAATAGGAATTATAATTTGAGTCCAATTTTGTACAAGATTCCTATTTCATCTCAACTTTGTACCCACTATAAAATCCCTCCTTCCTCAACCCTAAGGGGAGACCGAGAGAATTCAGAGATTCTGGGAGACAAGAAGGAGAGAAATCAAGAGCCACAAGTTGTCTTGGAAAGCAAGAAGAAGACTAGGGAGATTTGGGAAAATCGTCTGGTTAATTCTTGTACTCTTTTGATGATTTGTAATTCTTTATTTATATTTGCTATGTATAATTTAGTCATGCTTGGCTAAATTCTTTAGAGATTCTTGGGTAAAAGTGTTTATGAACCTATGTGCCTGAGCTCTCAGTTTCTTTAATATATTATTATTTGGGTTTAATACTTGTGTTGCAATCGTGATAATATTGTTTGATGCTTGTAATTAATGGCCATAGTTACTAGCTTCATAGCCATGTTTGTGTCACCAATGGGAGTTGGGGCATATATTAGGGTACACACAATTGCACCTAATGGTTGGACCTTGGGAAAGGGGAACTTATTAGGGGAAGTTTATTCTAGATTGTTGCCAATCGGAGATGGTAGTAATTAGGAATAATTGAATGCTGATCTTCGATCTTATTGGGTGTTTAAGCCACGGGAGTGGAAATTCACTAGGAATAGAGATTACGGGAGTAATTCGATTCCACTTTGCATTCCCACACATATCTTAATTCCAAACTAAATATTACAAACGATAATTGGCACTAGGTGATTAAATACTTGAATCCCATGAATCTCAACTTCTCTCTAATTGTTTTCAAAATCCTGAACTGCTGTTTTATTTTATTTATTTTATGCCAATCAATCATCTAAGTAATTGTTAAGATTAGCTCTAATGAATAAGTTAGTAACTAGTGCTTGATACAACCACTTCCCTGTGGATCGATAACTCGTACTCTGAGAATTATTTGTTTGCAAATATACTATGCATCAGCGGTGAGAGACTCCTCGGGTGGTGGCGGCGCACTGGCCGTGTTCTACGCTGGACGTGGCAGGCATGGTGGTGAATAAAACAACTCAGGTCGCCATTCCTCCGGTGGCCGTGGTCGGCAGAGGCGGTCAGAACCAAGGGCGGCAAGGCCGTGGCTGTGGTTCCCGGTGTCAAATTTGCAGGTCGCATGACCACACCGCCGTTTATTGTTTCAAGAGGTACGCCGATCGCCCGGCCGGCCACGCCAATGTGGCAGTTTCCGGCGATGCTGCGGTGCATGCGGCGGCGGATGTCTGGTATCCAGATACTGGAGCATCATCCCACGCGACCCCGGACGAACAGATGTTGAGCTACTCCGAGGTCTACACGGGCGGTGATGTACTCAAAGTTGGAAACGGTACAGGTTTGGACATTTCCTGTGTTGGACATACGGTTATCCCATCCCATTCTAAAACTTTGTCAGTGTCTAATATTCTACATGTTCCAAACTTAACGTTACCGTTGTTGTCCATTTATCGTTTCACTAACGAGAACGATGTTTACTTTGAATTTTACAAAAATCTGTTTCTTGTGAAGGATTGCAATCCAAAGGCAGTTCTTCTTAGGGGGTCCACTTCTGGCGGGCTATACAACTCATTGGTCCCGCAGTCTCGGTGTGCTTTTCTAACCGCACGTGCGTCCTCTGAGTTGTGGCATCAACGCCTAGGTCACCCCCACAATCAAGCTCTCTAGCGTGTCCTAAAACACTGTCCAGTCACTACAAATAAAACCAGTTCGTCTAAGCTGTGTACCGCGTGTCAACTAGGGAAATCGTCTCGGTTTCCTTTAGATAGGGTTTCAAGCACTAGTAATAATGTGTTAGATTTATTGTACACGGACATCTGGGGTCCGTCTCATGTAATTAGTGCCTTTGGTTACCGCTGTTTTGTGCTTTTTGTAGATGACCATTCAGGTTACTGCTGATTTTATCCATGAAGGCTAAAATCAGAAATATATAAAATTTTTGATGTGTTCCGGGCGTTGGTAGAACGTCAGTTTTCACGATCTATCATCGCCATTCAGTCTGATTTAGGGGGTGAATACCGCCGTCTCCATAAGGTTTTTCTATCTCTTGGAATTAATCACCGGCAATCGTGCGCCTATACACATGAACAAAATGGGTGTGTCGAGCGCCAGAACAGACACATTGTTGAAACCGGCTTGGCACTACTTGCTGAAAGCTCAATTCCACAAATATACTGGGACTATGCTTTTGAAACAACCACGTACTTAATCAATTCCCTACCATCTTCCACTATAAACAATGAAAGTCCTTACTACCGAATACACAAATCTCAACCTCCATACACCTTCATTCGTGTTTTCGGGTGCTGCTGTTATCCCTACTTTGACCATACAATCGGCACAAGATAGAGTATCGGTCGACACCCTGTATCTTCCTAGGTTACCCAGTTTCTTATAGAGGATACCGTTGTCTGGACCTAATCGCGGGAAAGGTCTTTATCTGCTGGCATGTCCGATTTGATGAGTCCATTTTCCCTTTTGCTATGCAGTCTACTTTACAGGCTTCCTCAAGTCCACCCACTCCGCCCTGGGGATCCGGGCCAATAGTGGTCGACATAGGGGTGGGCACTTCGGTTCGGTTTATCCGAACTGAACCGAACCAAACTGATCCGAACGGAACCAAACTGGTAATAGAAAACCAAATGGTTCGGGATTTTGTAACCCGAATGGTTTAGTACCGAACCGAACCGAACCGAATGCAATATAATTTTTTAATAAATAATAATAATAATAATAAATTAATAATAATAATAATAATAATAATAATAATAATAATAATAATAATAATAATAATAATAATAATAATAATAATAATAATAATAATAAAGAAGTAAATCCAAGTCCCTTGATGCTTGCTCCACCGTTCAGTTCTCATTCTTACTGGTACCGAACCTTAAATTTTTTATTTGATTTCTTTATAGCTTGTTTTCTACATTGCACTTTTGTTGTTTGTCGTAATTGTTCTTTAGCTCACAATTATATCTACCTTGAGTTATATTTACAATATTCAGTATTTTCCTTAGTTTCATGTTTTTCTATAAATTTAATGTGTTTTACAGTCATTCTAATTTTGATTTCCAGTGCATTATATTTATTTTTTAGTACTGGAATATATTTCGAGTGCACTAGCAATGACAGATTGTGTCCAAAAATGAACTATATAGTAATTGACACTTGTTCTTTTAATATCAACTATACAGATAGATGATTATTCATCTTATCAACTATATCGTAAAGTCTTAAACCGAACCGAAGCCCGAACCGAATTAAATCCGAACCGAAACCAAACCGATTGAAACCGAACCGAAGCCGAACTGAACTATAATGTTAAACTGAATGGTTCAACTTTTCTAAAACCGAAAAACCGAAACCGAAAAAAACCGAACCGAAGACCGAAGTGCCCAGCCCTAGGTCGACACTCAATTCATACCTTTAGCTGTGGAGTTGCCTTTGGCTCAAGAGTCAAGCCTGATGGCTATAACAGCTCCTCTAGCTCCACTACCAGCTGCCTCTCGTTCCATGACGGGCCAACCGGTTGAACGACTTAAAGCAACCAGGGGTCGGGGTAAGACCCAAGTACCGCAGACCATGCGCACTCGGCACAAGACTCGGGGCACAGATGAAGAGTTCTATGCTCTTACCGCATCCGCTGATCCCACCTGTTACTCCCAAGCCGTTGGTCACTCACAATGGCGAGACGCCATGGACCAGTAGTTCAACGCTCTCTTACACAACAACACCTGGGTGCTCACCCCGGCTACACCGCATATGAACATCATCGGTTGCAAATGGGTCTTTCGCACCAAGCGTAAGGCCGATAGCTCGGTTGAACACTATAAGGCCCAACTAGTCGCTAAAGGGTTCAACCAGGTCACCGGTGAAAAATTTTTTGACATGTTTAGCCCGGTGGTCAAACCGATTTTTCTCTTGCAATTTCTAACAGGTGGACCTTACGTCAATTGGATGTACACAATGCTTTCCTAAACGGGCATCTCTCTGAAACCGTTTACATGAAACAACCACCTGGCTACGAGGACCCCACGCGCCCTAACCATGTGTGTCATCTGCAACGGTCGCTCTACGGGCTGAAACAAGCGCCCCGTGCGTGGTTCAAACGACTCCATGACTTCTTGACTACCACCGGGTTTCTGGCTTCCAAGACTGATGTCTCGCTCTTCCACTACACTTCTGGGACCTCTAGGGTTTTCCTACTTGTTTACGTTGACGACATCATAATGATGGATAATAATTCGGAACTGGTTAACTCATTACTCCTGTGGCTTTCCACGATATTCAAGATTAGGGATCTCAGCCGACCGAGTTTCTTTTTTGGGCATTGAGACACTCCCAGTTGGGGACAACTTGGTTCTTTCCCAACGGCGGTATATGAAGGACATTTTATCACACTCAGGCATGTTTGATTGCAAAGCCTTGGCCACTCCAGCAGCAGTCACGCAACCGACTAGTCCCTCATCAGATCCTTTCGAAAATCCCACGCAGTACCGGCGGATTGTTGGAGCACTACAGTACTTAACTATCACTCGCCCGGACCTTGCCTACTCCGTTAACAGGTTATGCCAGTTTATGCACTCTCCTACAGACGATCACTGGGCCCTACTCAAGCGTGTCCTACGCTATATTAAAGGGACTCAGGACTTGGGCTTACGCTAACACCATCTGACTCTTTCGATCTGCATGCTTTCTCCGATTTCGATTAGGCAAGGTGTCCGGTTGACCGCAAGTCAACCAGTGGATATGCTGTATTCCTAGGTGACAATCTTGCATCTAGGGTCTCCCACAAGCAGCGTACAGTTGCGAGGTCATCGATAGAGGCAGAATACAAAGGTCTAGCGGATGTCTCGGCCAAGGTTACTTGGGTTATCTCCTTACTCCGCGAACTTGGTTTACATACTGGCAAGCCGGCGACTCTATGGTGTGACAATTTGGGTGCCAAATACTTAGCGGCCAATCCAATCTTCCACGCTCGCACAAAACATGTTGAAATCGACTACCACTTTGTCCGGGATAAGGTCGCATCTGGTGACTTCATTGTCAACTTCATCTCTACCAAGGAGCAGCTGGCTCATATTTTCACTAAACCGTTGCCCGCACCGCGTTACCAACTACTTCGAGACAAGCTCAATGTTGTCCCCCTACAACCTTGTGCTTGGGGGTGGGGGGTGTGTTAGTAATGTAATTAATATAATTAGTTTATATTATATTGTTTGTATTAGTGGTTGAGATTTAGTCTACTTGTAACACCCCATGTTACGCCCTTTAATCCTAGATTAATTATTTAATTAATTCTATAAAAGAATAGTTAAAAAGGATTTAATCTGGCCAAGATCCCTTAATTAATTAATGTGGTCCACGAAGAACCGTGGACCGTTGTTTATAATAAGGACTTTACGTCTGTTAGAAATAAAGAAAGTGGGCCTTTACTACTCAGATTCTAATTAGGAATTCTAGACCTATATACCTGTTAGGGATAAAAAGTAGGTCTTTACTATTCAGACTCTGATTAGGATTCCTAACTCTATAAATAGTTGATTTTTTTTTTTTTTTTTTGCATTCAATTAACCACACTGCTAGCTATAGCTGGCTGTCTTATTTTTTTTTCTTTTTTTTTTACAAAAAAATGGACTTAGGCCCCACATGGCCTAAATCCTGCTAACTAATCTAAATAAACTAAATAAAACGAGATTACATAACGAGGCCCCCGGGCTCTAACATGCATGCCCCAAGTCCCATACTAGCTATCACTAACCAGAACGCAGACAAGAGTATAAACATCAAGATGTGAAATAAGTAGCCTGTGAAGCTGCTCCGGAAAAGTGCACGCGTAGCCCAACTGCTTCACAGCCCACCATATAGTCCGAAGCTCAAATAGCAAGGAATAGACACCTCGCGTGTCACCATCATAGTACCACCCTGCCAGTTGCACTATGGCGACTACACACCATAATGCAGCCTACCGGGCTGCACCACGACTGTAACACCTCCCGTAGCGCTATTGGCTGGCCCGTAAAACAAGACATGCCATACAACAAGATAGATACATAGCTAGCAATGGCACGCAGGCCTAAGTCGAGATACATAGCTAAAGATGGCACGCAGGCCTAAGAAAAAAAGTACAAGGTAAATCACAGGCCATAAAATCAATCAACATAGCACAAGGCAGCAAATAGCAAAACTCCTGATCAGCACCAGTACGAACCAGAACCAACCCTAACGGGATTAGCTACTATGGGCCAGCAGCAAGCCTGGACTACCGCCAACGGATTTGAAAAACACCTACCCGGCCACCGTTCAGCCCGGGCTAGGATGCAATTTTTTACCGCTTGCATCGGCGTTGAGACCTGGTCTGTCCCAAAAAATGCCTGCAAAGGCGAAACCAAAACAGCCCAAGACCAGTTCATGCCTCTGAGGCCAAAGAAACAGCACCTGCAAAAAAATAGAAACAAGATAGAACAACCAAGCATCCTGTTCCCCTGACCCAACTATAATTTCTACCTCGGGTGAGTGTTTAAGGTTATAACAGGCTGACGCGAACAAAAAGCAACCCCCCAAATAATAGCCCATCCCCCCCGGAGTCCAGAAGGAACGCAGCTACTATTGGCCAGCAGCAAGCCTGACCAGGTCAACGGATTTGACTAGTCCTGCCCAGTGCACCGTTCAGCCCGGACTAGGGTGCCATGTTGTACCGCCAACACCTTACGTTGAGACTCAGTCCTGCAGGCAGGACCTCATGGCCTCCAAAAGAACCTCACACACTCTCTGCTTTTTAGCTCACATCCACTCTTTCTTTTACCTCTCCAACTCTCATTTTCCTCTAACTCACTCCATTCCTTTTCACTCCTTTCTTTTCATTCTCCTTTCTTTCCCTTATTCTTTTTTCTTTTATTTTTCTTTTATCTTTTCTTTCCTTTCTTTTCTTTTCTTTTCTTTTCTTTTCTTTTCTTTTCTATTTTTATTTCTTTTTCTTTACAAACAACAGCTTACAGCAGGAGTAATAGCACAATCACGGGGGGTCATCAATCTCAAAAAACACATAGGGCACATCATTATGTATCAGTAACGCGCGGACCTTAGGCGGCAGATCATTGAGGTTCCGAAAGACGGCCTCACCTGGCTTATCAACCACCCAATCAGCTAGTGCCTGCGCAGGCAGATTGGCCCTAGACGGGCACACAACAGCAGTAACTACCCCGCAGGAACACAGGAATCGAAGCCTGGACACCACACTATCTAGAATCCACGGCGGACGAACAGAGATATCAACATAGCTAGCTAGCTTCGCCCAGGTGGACTCTATATCAATCACTGTATTTCCCCCGGCCAGGCACCATTCCAAGCAGGAGAAAAGGACCCGGAACATGCCCCGGGCGTGCCCCCCCTGCCCAGACCACGCAACCCCATAGCAAAAACCACCCTCCTGGTTGCGCACCACGGCTGCAGCCCCCCCCCCCCCCCACTGCCGAAGACAGAGATAGATTAATCTTTAACGCAGCGGCAACAGGAGGAGACCACCTGACCGTCCTAACAACACGCCTCGGCACATGTGCCTCCAAGTATGCCACAATAGTCCTCCAATTAAAGGGCAGGATATGCTGCGTGGGCCACCGCCTAAACAGACATTCCGCCACCCCCTTTGCCACCCCACGCATCACTCGTGCAACACTGGTCGTGTCTCGGCCATACATACACCCATTACGGTGCTTCCATAGCTCCCACAATACCAGATACGGCAACCTACAAACAACAAAAGACAAAAGAGGGTTACGCGCCCCCCGCCGACCCCATCCCACAATCAAAGTCCTAAGACTCCGATGTCGCGAATAGAGGCCGAGGGACGCCAAAACATATCTCCAGACAGCTTTTGCTATTTCCCCAGAATAAAAAATATGATCAATAGACTCAGGGGCCGGGGCCGGGGCCGGACAACACCGACATCTCGAGACGATCACATGACCGAAACGAGCGAGGATGTCATCCGTGGGAAGCCGCCCTCGGAACACTCTCCAAGCCAGGAAGGACACCTTAAAAGGAAGGTTCTTGCGCCAACATTTAGCTAAAAGAGGGTCTGGTGTAGTGGGCAGTGCAGGCCTAAGAAAGGCCTTGGCAGAGGAATAAGAAAACATACCGTCGGACGCCACGGTCCAGAGTGGGATATCACGCGGGCCCTGCCCTATTCGGGACAAATCCGCAGTAATCCCTGCATACGCCAAGTCATCGTGGTCAGCCAGATCAAGCTCACCATCCCGCACATAATCTAGGAGCAACTCCCGGGAGTAAGAAACCCCCCGGTGTGGATAAAGTCTACCGAGCGGGCCCAGACCTGACCAGTTGTCCCACCAGAAATTTACCCGGCCTTGGAACAACCGCCAAGTCAGAACCCTCTCAACCTCATCACGTACTGCAACATCCGCCTCCAGGTGTGCGAATCAGTACTCCGGACTAACTTAGCAACCGGGTGAACCCGACTGCAGTATTTAGCCCTCATAAAATCCGACCAAAGCGTGTGTTCTGTCCGGAAATTCCACCATAATTTAGCACTGGCCGCCCTCACCATCAAATCCAAGTCCAAGAACCCCACCCCCCTCCTTTTTAGGACGAGAGAGAGTTTTCCAAGAACTCCAATGATACCGGGCGCCCCCTGACTGTTTCCAGAAGAAACTAGCATAGCATCTCTCTAAGTCCCGTATGACTTGCTTAGGCGGTGCACAGGCCGAGAATAGGTGCAACGGCATGGCCTGCAAGACTGAGGATATCAAAATTGCCTTCCCGCCCTTTGAGAGCAGTCGGCGCTGCCAACTCAAACATCTGGCCTTCACTTTATCCACCACCGAGGCAAAGTAAATACATTTCTTACGGCCAATATACACTGGGCAACCCAAATAAGTAAATGGGAACTGATTATGCACACAACCTGTTGCCCTGCGAATCTGTTCAATCTTATAGGCCGGAGTACGAGGGTGCATGTAAAAAGCACTCTTCTGAAAGCTCACCAACTGTACCGAAATCTCCTCGTACTCCTTTAACGCACCAATTACCTCCTGAATAGCTCCCAACCTGGCCGTACTAAAAATAATCACATCATCCGCATAGGCCAGGTGGTGAATATGTGGTGTCCCTGGCGGCTGTGTAAACCGGGGCACCGCAGTGCCATCATAAACCCGCGCAAGGTAAACTGACAGGACTTCAGCTGTAATCACAAACAAAGTCGGGGACAATGGATCCCCCTGCCTGAGCCCCCGTGTAGATGTAAAGAAGCCTTCTTTGACTCCGTTTACAATCACTGAATACCACACGTTAGACACAGCCCGAAACACCATATCTATCCAGACCTCGCTGAAACCCAAACGGCGCATCACCGAAGTCAGGAAAAACCACGATACCCGGTCATATGCCTTAGCCATGTCTAACTTAAGAACTATGTCCCGGTTCTGTAAGCTCAACCCATGGCATATCTCGGCCGCCAAAAGCACATTATCAGTAATAGACCGACCAGCTACGAACCCACTCTGCTGCGGAGACAATACCCGGGGCAGGACTGTAGCCATCCGAACTACCATGAGCTTCGTGATAAGCTTACTACTGAAGTTGCACAAACTGATAGGCCTGTAATCTGCGAACGTTTCTGGACTCGGCTTCTTCGGCAAAAGGACGATGGATGTGTGCGTGATAGCCCTGGTGAATTCCCATCCCGCAAAGTAACTCCGAACCATACTGACAACATCATCCTGAATAATATCCCAACAGGCCTTATAAAAAGCCCCCGAGAAACCATCCGGCCCTGCTGCACTCGTAGAGTTCATTTGCATTACCACCGCTTTCACCTCCTCCACCTCAGGCATGGCCGTTAAAAGCTCATTATCCTCTTCAGTAACCAAGCATGGGACACAATCCAACCTAGCCAGATCAAAACCCCCAATCTCTGCGGTGAACATATGCTCAAAGAAAGAGACTGCTTGATTAGCAATCCCTTGCCTATCTTCCAACCACACGCCGTCACCATCCTTAACCCTGTGTATATATAGCTTACGCCTGCGTGCCTTAACAACAGAGTGAAAGAACCGGGAGTTTCTGTCCCCATCCTGAACCTCGGTGATACGCGCCTTCTGCTGCCGAAATTCTTCCTCAATTGCAATCTGTTTTTGTAACAATGCAACACCCTTTTTATATTCAACCAACGCAATTCATCATCCGGGTGTTGCTGTAAGACAGCTTCAAGGGTCTGAACACTATCCTCATATTCACGGAGCTTCACAAAGATATCCCCAAACATAGTCTTGCTCCACCTGCTCAGAACCTTACCCAATCTATTCAACTTGGTGGCGATTACAAACATAGGGGCCCCCTCAACAGGAACCCGCCAGCTATCACGCACCACCCTTAGAAAATCTTCGTGCTTAATCCACACGTTCAGGAAAACAAAATGCTTCGGTACCACCTGCATACTCAGTAAATCACAAGACATTAAAAGAGGAGTGTGGTCAGACGTGGACTTTGATAAATACCGTACGGATGTCATGAAAACCGATTCCCACACCGAGGTGTAAAGGAACCGGTCCAAACGCATCCATATAGCCGCGTCCTTACGCCGCCCATTCCACCAGGTGAAACGGGAACCGTAATAAGCCGCATCAATCAAGTCACACGCACTGACACACTCCTGAAAATCAGTAGTCTTCCGATGTGAGTACGGAAGCCCACCTTTTTTCTCGTCCACACTTAGCAAGCAATTAAAATCACCCGCCACCGACCAAGGAACTCCCCCGGGAATCATAGAAAATATAGCTTTCAGCTCAGCCCACAACGGGTCCCGAAGACGTTCCTTGGTTTTGGCATAAACAAATGAGAGCCAGAAAGGCGTGAGAACCGTAGAATGTACACAAGAAATCGTGACGCACTGCTCAGTCTGACTCTCGAATGTTATTGCCAAATCATTATTCCAAAAAATCCAAATTTTATTATTATCAGAAGCAAATACATTATCAAAATTAAAGCGAATTCTGAAAAACTCAAGCCAATCAGACGAGCTGAAAGGCTCGAGCAGACATAATACAAAAGGTGAATGCATTCTCAGCAATACACGGATCCTGCGCGCAGACCCCTGGGAGGAAACCCCCCTCACGTTCCAGACGAGTAGTTTCATATGGATAAAACAACCAGATCCGGACGAGAGGGGTCCCCCCCTTTTCTGGTGTGACTTAGCCGATGTCTTGCCGGGCCAACGCCTTCTATCCGGCCGTCAGAATCTGACCCCGACTCCGGGGCCCACTCCTCAGGCTCGTGACCCGGCACCGGTACGTCTGAATCTGACCACGCCCTGTCCCTCTCCCTTCTCGGCCCCCAGGGAGCCTTAGGCGAAGAGTCTGGTGTCTGGGACAGCCAGAGAGTATCACTCGGGAGGGCACAGGGCGGTGTCCCCAACTCAAGGGGACCATAGAAACCAGGTCTAACTCAAGGGGACCATAGAAACCAGGTCTAACCAGGGTGGTCCCCAACTCTATAAATAGGGGATTAGAAAGCAATTAGAACCCTTACCACCCATAGTTATATTACACAAAATTATTCCTAAGAGATTCCCCACCACCAAGCCTAGGGAGATCAATCAGATGGAAATCTTAGAGAAGAACCTTAATAGCCAAGGGAGGATTAATTCAGGCTAAGAAGTAACCCATGTCTTACAAAACCTATTTTCCTTGCTATATCTTATTTACTGGCTCCCTTGATAATTGTATGTGTGATTCTGTGATTGAGGCTTGATAGAGCCTTGCCTAGGGTTTATGTTGTGTTTATTTGATAATCTTGATGATCTTGATGTTGTGATTGATTATATGTGTAATCTTGTATTTAACTATGTCTAGAGCTTGTCCCTAGGGTTTATATCGTGAATCTCGTTGTTGTGATGTTCTTGGTATTCTTGGGTGGGTTTATGCATGATCGAGTGTTGAGTCTAGCCTAAGACTTGTATTTATGACTTTGCATATAGATTTCTTGATGTTCTTGTGGTTCCGGATGCTCCTGAACCGTTATATGTTTGATGTTCAGTCTTGGCATGTTTAGGAATCGTGTTAGAACTTATTTGGAATGATTCTTGGTTTGATTCCCGTTAATTGAATCCGTGATATTGTTGTGGTGTGTTGGAATGTGTCTGGACATGGTTTTGGGTTCCATGAGAGATCCCGGTACCGAAAAGTTGTCTGCGTACTAGTGGGGGGTAGGTGCCCGCTACCTACCCCGCTGCCCGGCTCGCCCCTGTCCAGCAGTCAGAGGGCTGCCCGCCAACCACCCGCTGGAATGGTGGCTGCCCGCCGGCGGGTGGCTGACGGGTGGTCCTCCACCCGCCACCCACCCGCTGGAAAGTTGTTATGGGTCGTGATGTTTTCCCCCGTTTGTTGTTTCCCCGTGTTCCATTGTGTCGCGTTGTACCCCGTTTGTCGTGTATGAGTCCCGTTTGATTTTTCGAATACCGTTTTAGGAATTTATGTGTAGTACGTGTCGTTGTTGTAATGTCTTGATTGTTATTGATTGATTGAATAATGATGAGTATCGTGGTCATTGCGCAATGGCCGATATAACAGATGATAATGATGTTGAGATTGTGATTGGTGGAAATGAATTGTTGGCGGTTGGCATAACGAGTGCCCGGACATTGTATTAAAGGTACAGGCATAGCGGTTAATATGCTAAAGGCACAAACCCACCTTCGACTAGCTTGCCGTTGAGCATGGGTCAGGTTATAAGTGCTGTAGTGTCATGTCGGGGCTATATGCGCTGACCCCTTGTGTGACACCCCGTAAATCCAAATTCTATTTAAGGATTAATTAGATAATTAATCCTAGCTTAATTGATAATTTATTTCTAAAATCCTGAAAATCCAATAGTCGGAGGACTAGAAATTGATTAGTCAATCCAAGTCAAAGAGTTGTACTCTAGGCTTAAAGAATTGTTCCCTTGTATCCTTACATTTCCCACTTTAGTAAGGGTAAAGAAGACTTTTCACCTTATGTTTGTGTCACAATCTAACTTAGAGTCATACTTCATTTCATTTCCCTTACACCCTAAACACAAAGCTCATCCTTCTCTCTAGAAAAGTTGTTAGCTTCTTCGTCAAGCCAAGTTTGGGCAATCCAAGATTCTTCAAGTTGGTCTCCAATATTCAAACTTTCTTAACCTTGAGCATAAGGGAGGGTAAGATCCATGGTCCCTTAGTGATTTTAATACCTTTTTAGGTGTCTTTTCTAAAAGATAGAATCTTTGTTGTCTTTTGGTGTGTTCTTAAAGTTGAAGTTGAAGGAGAGCTTTAGGAGAAGCTTTAAGGGTGTGAGAAGTGAAGGTTTAGGCTACAAGAGGTAACCCATGCTTTACAAAATCTATTTTCTTACCTATATGATGATTTCTTGACTTCTACATGTGATTTTTGCTATGAAATGTGAGTTTTGATGCATTGTCTTGTGGGAATGCATATCTAGAGCTTGTTATTAGGATTCTTGTATGCCATTGCTTGGCTATTTCTTGGATTCAAGTCATGTTGTTGTATTTTGTGAGATTTTGTATGTTTTGGACTTGAATTCGGACTTGATGTTGAAAATCCCCGAAGGGATTATTTTGGTACATGGTTGTACCCGCGGGCGGAACGGCGGGTAGGGCACCACCCGCCGCCCCACCCGCGGGGTACATATGGTTTGTGGTAATGGTTCCTGCGGGCGGAACCACGGGTGGAGGTCCACCCGTAGCCCCACCCGCGGGGTACACCTTATTGGTTGTTTAGGGATTTGTTCCCCGTGATTCTTTTGACTCGGTAATTGATGTTTTGACTTCCCGATGTTGTTTTGTTGGGCTATTTGAGTGTCTTCTTGATGTTTCGTAGGTCTAGAACTGTATGATGTGATCCCATGTAGGATTTGGTGTCTAGAATCGTGCTAAATGTTCAACTTTTTGATTCGTTGGACCATGATGAGTCTTGTACGTTCTTCGGGACTATGATTGGTTTACCCGTTTGATAAGCATGCTAGTTTGATGTTGAAATGCTAGCGTGTGCGGTTTGTTCTTTCCTATTGTGGGTTGCAACTTGTGTTGATCATCGTTGGTGTCGGATTGTAGTCCTTCCTTGATTGAGTATGGTTTCATATCTTTGTTGTGATCCATTGATTGATTCCTGTGATGAAATGTGTGTGTTGGCTGTACCTGGATTGCACGATTAATGGTATGGGACATTAATCACCAAGGTACAGATGTGGTCCTCGTGGAGGCCATGAATTGAGTTTGGTGGTTTGTTATCGTGAGTTTTAGCTCTCAGGTTTGGCGGTTTTGTGATATGATCTTGCAATGTACCCTCGTGTACTGTGCGTTCGGCGGTTTTGTTTGGCGGTTGTTGGAGGGGGAATGACGGTTCCCGGAGGCAAAAGGTTGGACTTGGAAGTACAGGGTGGCACTCGGAGGTAAAGGTTAGAACTGTAATAAGGTCGGGGGTAGCCATAAGGTTGGAACAGGGCATAAGGTTGGAACTTGTGACATGAAGTGTCATTGTGGCATGTAGTGCCAATGTGTGGATGTCTATCCTTTCTGTTGAGCATGTCGAGTGGTATTCTACTTTGTGATCAGTAGAATACACCTCAAGTTGTACTTGTTATCGTTGTTGTCTTTGCCGTGATGTTTTCTGCTTTGTGATTAGTAGATTACATCTTGAACGATGTTGAGTTGTTCTGTTGTTGTTCTTGTCTTGATGTTGTTTGGGATGTTGATTCCCTCGTTCTTTTGAGAGTGAAATAGAGTCTTTGCAGTTGACTTCTCTCTTTTCGATTTTGAACTGATATATATACTGTATTCCGTTTCAAAAATGGTTTTGTATTATACTATATATATATATATATATATATGCTATTGAACGCGTATTGATGGGTTACCAGCAATATTCGCTGACCGGGCGTCGTCCCCTTTCTTTATGTGCTTTACAGGTCCTGAGTAGACATGGCGAGAGCGTTAACCGTTGATAGTTTAGATCCCTTGAACAATGTAGTTAGTGTTTTGGCCTGTGTGCCACAGTTGTTGAACAGATTAGTTTGATGGTTTAGACTTGCCTGTGCGTTCACGTTGAGGTGAATGTGGCATAACACTCCTTGGTTTTCCCTGATTTTATGTTAGACTTCCACTGTTGCTTTTGTTTATGATATCTGTTAGTTACGTATTTAAGTTTTAAAATGGCATGAAAATCGGGGGTGTTACACCTTGATATTGGCACTAGAGGTGCGGTCATGCGAATGGCACTGCGGCGCTATCTTGATATGTTGGTGGTTGATAGGTGGTTTGTCGGTGGGGGCATGTAGTTACCCGGAGGAATAAGGGAGGCGATATAAGGGTGGCCTGGAGGTATAGATTGGAACTGATATAAGGATGGAGAGGAGCTACAAGGTTGGAACTTGGTATAAGGTTGGAAAATGGATTGTGTGCCTTGATGATTACCTGTTAATTGATTGTGTTTGAATGCCATTGTTGCCTCTATTTGCTATTTATGAGCTTATTTGTCTATTATGTCTTGTATCGTATTCTTATGACGCATGCTAGTCTTTATGATTATATTGTCGAGTCTATTATCATGTCTTGAGTCTTGATCTTGGATTTAAATTACAGTTTCGTAGGTTATATATGTATTCCGGTTTCAAAATGATTTTTCTTATATCTACCTATTTGTACTTAACGCGTTGGAGTGGGTTACCAATATTATTCGCTGACGGTTGTTACACAGTATGTTTTCCAGGAACATATCAGTAGCTTCGGAGCGCGTTAGATGGACTCGTGAATTTAGCTTAGTATTAGTTAGATGGCTTGTGAGCTTTGAATTGTATTATGGATATTAGTTATAATTCATGCCCTATTTGGTTAGTTTAGCCCTAGATGTGGCATAGCACCTCGACTATTATGTTTCGTTTATGCTCTATTTGGAATTTAATATTAGATTTACCTTTATTTTATAAGCTTTAAATATTTTAAAATTTAGGGGTGTTACACTACCACTCTAGCCTATAGGATAGGAGAGTATTGTGCAAACTCTCATATAGGTTTCATATTCTTTCTCTTTGTAACTTATCGATTCAATTCAGAAGTTTGTTATCTCATCATAGCACCGACCTTCGAAAAAGCATGGAGCTCCATGTGAAGTCGGGTCGCCCGATAATGACTCTAGGGGGTTGAGAAGAAAAGAGTGCCCGCCTAAGCCAATTGGCGGGGAGAGGCCCATGCCACACCCTCATCTTAATTTTTATGCTTTGGGCTTTAGCGTGATGGTTGGATGTTTGGTTGGGGTGTGCACATCACTCCCACTAGGTGGATCGGCTTTAAAGCCCTTGGAAAATAGGAGGTGAACACAAAATTGGTTGTATGCTTGGCAAAAGTGGTGTGAAGAATGTGTTCCCCTTTTATGCTTAATTTTATCCAATTGAAAGGGATTTTTGCTTCCTTTGTATATTCATTGAGTTGCATAGTAGAACACATATTTAACATACTTGCTTGATGATATGAGGGATTTCACTCTCTCCATTTTCTTACACATTTCTCTTGATTGACCAGTTGATTGATTGAGCTATCTTTGAGTTATCTTTGAAAGTATCTTTGGCACTTACTTTTTCTTGAATTGAATTGATAGCTTGTTTTAGGACAAGCAAGAATAAAGTGTGGAAACTTGTGATAAGTTTCAAAGATACCACCTTTTATGGGTCATTAAGGGGTTGTGTTGTACTTAGTTGAAGTCTTTTGTGGATGATTTATGATGCAAATGCTATGAAATGTTCTAATGTGTTGCAAATACCCATGAACATGTACACTTTAGTGTTTTGAAGGGTCTTGAGCTTAAAGGAAGACATTTTGCGTGAACCGGAGCAAACCGAGGAAGAATGCAATGGAGAAAGGCGCCAAAACACCCATCTACGAGGGCCCACTTTCGTCGACCGCTCGTGGATCGGAAGCAGAAGCTTCCACAAAGTACATCAACACTCGTGGCTGGGAATAAGTGAAATCTGGGGTGTGTATGCAGGGGCGTACGTGCGTACACCCGTGCGTACGCGCACCAGATTTTGGGATTAATGGGAGGCTTCTTTGACTGGATTGTGGAGAGACACTAATCATCTAACTTTCATTTTTGTAAATTTTCTGAGCTTTGTCGGTTAGGAAATTCTCTCTCTAGATTAGGTCACCTTCTAGATCAAGCTTTTCTCAATTCTCCATGCAAGCAAGAGGATCGTCAAGGATTGAAGGAAGAATTGACAACTCTACCTCTATGAATTTATTGTTCTCTTGTAATCTAGTGGATTGTAGCAATTTAGCTTAGTAATCTTGTACACTTTTCATCTTGAATTCCATCTTATAATTGTATTACCTTGCTTAATTGTGCTTATATTGCAATCTAGACAATGTTTGGCTATAATCTCTTTATGAATTAGATTCGATTTCCTCTTGTTTGTGTCTGGATTGATCTAGGTAGTTATGGCTATGTGTGATGTCTTGTTGTAAGGGGAGTTTGTATGGACTCTTGCGTGTGGATGCGCACCATATGCTTGTGCTTTGAGTAGGATTAGGCTTGCAAGAGATTGTGGCTTAATCATAGACTTGTCCCCCTTGCAATTCCCTTCTTTAAGTTCCGAGATGCCTAAGATGGGAAAGGGATGTAGACAACATGTTTGATTAAATGTTCACAAGGAAAGTAGTCACTAAAAGGTGGTTCTACACTAATGATAGACCTCGTAGATCGAGAGGTGAACAACATTGGAAGTCATCTCACATAGACTCATTCACCACTAGTTACACTCCTAGGTTGATTCACTTCAAATACACAAGGGATAGGGAAATCCAATTCACCTAACACAATCTTTGTTAACTTCATTGCTTACTTGTTTTCCAATGCATATGAGTGCTTGTGTTTGACCTCCCGATATTCAATTCCAAATTGTCCATCCTTTGAGAAGGACATTCCCGGGAATCTTCATTCGCAACCTTCTTTCCATCCCACGCATACTACAAACCTTGTCACTTGTCCTCAAGAAAGTTATCAATCATTTCAAAAAGTAAGTGCCAAAGATACTCTCAAAGATAACTCAAGATAGTTCAATCCATCAAATGGTCAATCAAGAGGAATGTGCAAGAAAACAGAGAGGGTGAAATCCCCCATACCATGTGCCCTACTATGCAACTCAAGGAATATACAAAGGAGAAAAAAGATCTATCAAGAAAGATATAATTAAGCTTGAGGGAACACACTCTACACACCATTCTTGCCAAGCATGCAACCAATTGGGGTTCACCTCCTATTTTCCAATGACTTTCAAGCCGATCCACCAAGTGGGAACGATGTACACACCTCAACCAACCATCCATCCATAACGTCAAAGCCCAAAGCATAAAAAGTAAAGTGAGGGTGTGGCATAGGCCTCTCCCCGCCAATTGGCTTAGGCGGGCACTCTCTTCTTCTCAACCCCTTAGAATAACGTCATCGGGCGACCCGACTTCACATGGAGCTTCATGCTTTTTTGAAGGTCGGTGCTATGGGTGCCCAAATCATAGCGGGGTGGCTCACCTCCTCTCTTGTTTTATCGTCTCCTAGAATAACGTCATTGGGCCAACAGACTTCACGTACATCTATACGCTTTTTCGAAGACAGTGCAATGACTTTGCCCCAATTCCTAGCATGACGGCTCACCTCATTTCTTACCTTATGGAGTGACCATTTATTTTTGGTCTTAGCCTTTTTCTTTCTTTCTTCATATCAACCCCTCATGCCTTTTAATAGGGATTAGGGATTTACTCTCAAGCTCACCAAAGGCTCACATTTTGCCCCGTGCCTTACCAAAGATTAGTCCAATTTCGTGCTTCGTTTTCAATTATCTTTCTAAAGTTGAGGGCTACACACTCTCACTTCGAGAAATCCTTGACTAAGGTCCAAACAAAATAAGAGGTGAATAACATGCAATGATATAAAAGATGTAAACCTGTTTGGTTTCTATGCATTTTGCTCACTTGGTGTAAAGAGGTAACTTCGTTCTAAAGGATATTCCATGAGTAAAAACTTTTTTAGGCACACCACTAACACACTTCCAACATGATATGAAAAATGATGCACTCTCTACCATCAAACACACTCATCAATCAAGCACCATTCAATCAATTGAACTTTCAAACATTAAGCACTAAGTGTGTCCTTTCCACACTTTAAAACAAACATCGTCATCAATGTTACTTTGAAAACTCGGTGGAGAAAGGAGCACGGGTCTATACAAATGAATATCCCTTTCCACACTTTAGAAGTGTTTTCCGGGATTTGGGGTGCAAGACAAAATCCTTTTTGAAAGACACATGGAAAATCAAAGAATGTGTGTAAAGACTCTTCTCCACACTTTAAAATTGAAAACTGGGTCACAAATTCTAAAAGGGATAGAGAATGTCACCCAATGAAGAACATCTCCCTTTCTCAAGGCATGTACCATCCTATTCACTTTGTCCCATAAAAACAAAGCTACAAAAGAATAGGTAGTGGCATATGTGCACGATTCAAATAAAGAAAGTGTAATGGAGGAGTCAAGCTACTCCCTAACTATCTACACTCTTTTTCTTTTTCTCTCTTTTTCTCTTCTTTCTTTTTTAGTATTTGAATTTTTTTTTTTTTTTGGATTTTCATAGGCCATAGGGTGCCTCCCATGAGCGCTATGTTTAACGTCTTCAGCCCGACGTGAATAACAAGGTAAAAATACAATGGCTAAAGATATCAAACATGCAACTACTAGAACACAATGACATGAAACTTAAAGAAACTACAGTTCAACTAAGCCCCTCTCAATAGCCTCTCACATTGCTTTAGGGAATTGAAAATTGAAAGAAATAAAAAAGCGTATGAAAAGTAAATGCATGAAAGTAAATAATTGTTCAATGTTTAGTAACCAAAGGAACACAGATCAATGTTTTTTTTTTTTCCTTCTCTTCTTTTACCACCCCTCCCCTATACACTTTTAACTTGTCCAGAATCAACAACTAACTTTTTCTCTTTTAAGAAGAACACAAAGTTTCACTTTCAAAGATAATTAAAATGAGACCAATGAAGTAGTAAACATTTATAAAATGTTATTTTATTGCAAATACTTATAGTAGTATTTCTTCATTGATAAGCCACTCGCCAAATCAATGACAGTAAGGAACATAAACTTAATACAATAACATGTTGTAATAATATCTCCAGAAAACCTAGCCATGAGAGCTAGGAATCTGAAAACTAACAAGACGTATATGATTTTAGAGAAAACATATAAATATAGAGGAAAATGGCACTCTTTGTCTCAAAGTAGACTTATTTGCACTTAATATGTATAAGATATATAAGATTAGATATAAAAGTGGGCTTATTTGCATTGGTATCCAATAGGGACACTCTTTCCACAGACATTGATCAACAGGTTGAGGGAGACAGGAATATTGTCAAACTTGATTCCGAAGGTGTTGGCTTTAAGGACGGTGCAAAGGCAGGCGGCGGCTTCAAGGTCGACAAGTCCGCTAATGAGAGAGCAGCAAGGCATGGTGGCCGGGCTTCCAGCAACAAGGTGGAGCAAGTCCTTCAACAGAACAGCACACACTCCCAATTCCAGTGCGCGTTTAGGGCACTCGCCCTTTAGGGGAGGCAGCAGATCATTGGTGAAGGCGGCGGAGCTAACCCCCGTGAAGAAGAGAAGGTTTAAAGTGAGGAAAAGGGAAAGTAAAGCCGCTGCAGATTTTGCCATTTTAAAGGAAGTTTTTGTTTCGAGCTAACTGTTAGCAGGCTATAGATGTGAGGGAATCTCCTTGCTTATGTCCAATATTTATAGATGCAACTTCGAACAATTTTAAATTCTTTTGAAAACATATTTTTTTTAAGTACTAAAAAAAAAGTCTTTGGTGCAGCTCCCAAAATATTTGTGAAGATCAAATTGAAAAATTATATATATATTTGACAAATTTCAAGTTTCAACAGAATTACAAACAAGTAAAAATAAAAAAATAAAAAAATTAATTTGCTAGATAATCTCACTTGGAGCTCGAAGTTTGTCACTATTACAGAACGTTTGGTACACGGTGTTGGACTACATAGCTTCATCATGTAGTCCTTATTCTAACACACGGAATGAATTTGTAGAGAATTAGAATGCTATTTCACAGGGAATGAAATAGGTAATTATAAGGAAAAGACTAGATAGCTAGAAATTGTATTCTATTATTTGGTTCGTTGAAGGAATATACTTTAGCAATTGTATTCCAATGTTTGTTTCGTTAAAGGAATAAAAATAAAATAGGTTTCAAATACATAATACCCTTATACAAAATAATAATAATAATAATAATAATAATAATAATAATAATGAATATGATTATGATATATTGAATTATATATATATATATATATATATATATATATATATATATATATATATATATATATATATATATATATATATATATATATATGTTTAAGTTTCAGTGCGGGTGAATGCTTCCCGTGTGGTTGTGCGGGTGATTAATGTGCGTGAGTTTTGTACTTAAGGTGCGCGAGTCTTGTGTCTAAAGTGCGTGAGTTGTGTGCTTAATGTGCGTGAGTGTGTACTTTAATATGAGTTGTTGTTAAAACTTTAAAGTGCATGAGTTTTGTGCTTAATGTGCGTGAGTTTTGTGCTTAAGGTGCGTGAGTTTTGTACTTAATGTGCGTCAGTGTGTACTTAATGTGAGATGTTGTTAAAACTTAAGGTTCGTGTGTTTTTGTCCTTAAGGTGCGTGAGTTTTATGTTAAGGTGCATGAGGGTTGTGTTTAAAATGCATGAGTTTTGTGCTTAAGGTGCGTGAGTTTGTGTTCTGAATGTATTTTGTTTGTGTGTTTAATGTGCGTCTGGTGTGTACTTAAAGTACGCCCGTGTAATGCTTAATGTGAGTCCACCCGCAGAACCGCACGAGAAGCACCTATATATATATATATATATATATATATATATATATATATATATATATATATATATATATATATATATATATATATATATATATACACACACACGTGTGTGAGAGAGAGAGAACAACAACAACAACAATAATAATAATAATAACAATAATAATAATAATCAAAATACATATTATTATTATTATTACTATTATTATTGTTAGTGTTTTTAAATGTTCAAAAAATCTCATATTATAATCAGCAATATTATTATGGCATTCTAAGATAGGTTTAGAGTCTGTCCGTCCAGCTCTACAGACGACTGATCAATTAGAAGCAACAACAGAAGGACGGACACTGAGGATCTGATTTAGGAAGCTGTTTTCTAAAAAGTCTTACGCGGTATTATCAGACAAGTTTGGAAAGAAGATCAGCGTATATTTTCAAGAAAGGTATGGACCAAATCTTCTGAGATTACATTCCTCTTTTATAGTCCTACCTTCTACAATCAAAGTCATTTATGGAGAGTGTTTATTGAAGAATCTATAAGTACCCTTACTCGAAAAGAATTAGGGTTACGCCGAAAGTATGAAGAAACACTCCCCATCTGCTATATGAGATTAGATCTTTGATTGTCATGCATCTTCTCAATACAATATGTTCATGGTGATTAAAATGATGAACTTGAGAAGGATCACTGCTGCTTAAACGAAAGGACACTGTGATCACACTGTTGTGGGAACAACCATAAAGAGCGTCATTGAAGTGGACTGCATCAGAGTGGGTTCTCCAAGTGAAGGGATTTCATTGGACTTCTGTATGCATGGCTCTCCATCTTCAACAATCCACTAAACCTGTGTAGACTGGGTTTGTACCTTGTGTGGGGCACTTGGGTAAGATTATCGTATATCTACCTTTGTACATTGGATTATGATTTAGTGGATTGGACGCCTATGTGATCGTCCCCCAGACGTAGATACACACTGTATCGAACTGGGTAAATATTCTGTGTCGTTGAGTTTGTGCTGTTATCTTTCTCTTACATCCTCTACATGATTGATTATCACTAACTATCTTCGTAACTGAATCAATCAGTAAACTCGGACAGTTCTCTAATCTTGTTAATTTATCAAAAAAGAGAAAATGCAAAATTACTTGTGGTATCAGAGCTTTTAAGTCTACATAGTGACTTGATCCGACGGGCTGTTTTATTGTTTTGCATTCTCTCTGTCTTTCGCAAGTTTTTTTTTTTTTTTTTTTTTTTTTTTTTGTGTCTGTTCGTTGGCTGGGTGTTTGTATTCAGGATGGATGCAAGTATGAAATCACCAGAATTAGATGGTCATAACTACTCTTTTTGGAAGGCTCGCATGGAGATATATCTTCAAGCACAAGGTACCAGGGTTTATCGTACTGTCTTAACTTGGTGGAGTCGTCCCACTACTCAGAATGCACAAGGAGTCACTGAAGATAAGCCCATGGAGACTTGGACAGACGATGAAATGAATGCCTCAGATCTAAACAACAAGGCATTAAATTCAATTGTAGGATCTCTGCATGAATCTGTTTTTACTCTTGCCACAGGAGTAAAAGAGGCCAAACGGGTATGGGAAATTCTTGAAACCAGATTTGAAGGAACTAGTGATGTCAAACAGTCAAAGCTACAAATGGATCTGTTAGAATTCGAAGCACTCAGAATGATTGAAGAAGAAACCATTTTGACCTTCCACAGTAGGGTTCAGAATCTTATGAACCGAGCCTCAATTCTTGGAGAGCCATTCACTGATGAGTGAGTGGTCAAAAAGATCCTTCGATCTTTACCTAAATGCTTTCGAATGAAAGTAACTGCTATTCAGGAACACACAGGTTGGGAAAAGAAGACAGTCGGAGAACTTATGGGAAGCTTACACACATATGAACTAGAAGTTCTTGCTGATGATGATCTTGGAAGCAACAGAAAAAGAAAGCCAGTGGCCTTTGTGGCTGAGGCTGATCGAGAATCTGACACAGACAACATAGATGATGAAACCTTGGCTCTTCTAACCAAGAATTTCAAGAAAATCTTAAAAGGTTTCAACAGAAAGGGTCAAGGTCAGTCTACCAGGACACAATACAAAGGCAACAACTCCTCATATCAAAAGGCTGAAACAGCACCTTTCTCACAGAACAATCAATCTCAGACTGGTCGAACAAGACAAAACAGAAACAGTTCCACAGACACAGGTAAATCCCTCAACCGGTCAGTACAGTGTAGGGAATGTGAAGGATATTTGCACATACAGGCTGAATGTGCAACATATCTCAAGAGGAAAAAGGCTATGTCTGTAGCTACTTTAAGCGATGATGAGGAGGAAACTTCTAATGATCAGTCAGATGATAATGTGGGAAAATTTGTAGACTTCTTTACTGCTACAGACCTTTAGTCAGACGGAGATCAATCAGATAAAGAATCGTACATATCAACTGATGATTTTGAAGAGAGACATACTCAACTTGAAACAGAATTTGCAAAACTTGTTGCTAGCTGGGAACAACTTGTGAAAGTGAATAAGAATCTGAATGAAGAGCTGAAGCGAAGAGATGATCTTCTAAAGAAACTGAATACAGATCTAGTCATAAAAGAAGATCTCATCACTCAGATAAGGTCCAGAGAAGGAAAACTGATCAAGGAATTGGAGAGTCTGAAGAAAAATATCCAGATGATGGACACCACATCCACCCTAGATAAGATTCTAGACTCTGGCAGAAATCCTAATGATAAAAAGGGTCTGGGATTTGAACGAGGTGAATCTTCGAATAACGCACCTAAGTTCATCAAAGAGGGTATGTCTAAGACCACAGCTGATCACAACTATGAACAAGGACAGTCATCTCAGTTAGCGCAGAACAAGGGAAGGAGGTACGACCAGACTGCTGATACTGGCCTAGCCAGATTAACTCGTCAATCTCATTATTCAAGGTTCAAAAATAAGATTGTCAAAGTTAAATATTACACCCCTATTTGTCACTACTGTCAAACAAAAGGTCATACTCGGCCTGAGTGTTATTTTTTTTACAGAGATCAAAGGAAGGAAAAATATCAGAATAAGACCATTACACCATTCACTAGACAAGTTTGGGTCAGGAAGTCAGAAGTTATCTACTACCCCACCATTGTTCTGACTGCATCTACAACTGATGCTAGATGGTATTTTGACAGTGGGTGTTCCGGACATATGACAGGAAATATTAAGTGTCTGATGGCTGTTCAACCCAGCAGTGGAGCTGTAACATATGGAGATGGACAAAAAGGCAGAATAGTTGGGAAAGGTATCCTAAATGTACCAGGTTTACCTCAATTAGAAGAAGTCCTGCTAGTCAGTGGGTTGAAAGCGAATCTAATTATCATCAGTCAGTTGTGTGATCAAAATTGGAATGTGTGCTTCGATCGTAACTACTGCAGAGTTAGTGACAAAGCAAATCAACTTGTCATGGAAGGAACTCGGTCCTCAGACAATTGTTATGTTTTGGCAAATGGAACTACTTGTCACCTATCCAAATCTAATGAATCAAAACTCTGGCATAGACGACTGGGTCACGTAAACTTCAGAGATATGGATAAGTTGATAAAACTGGAAGCTGTGAAAGGTATACCTAAGATCAGAATAGATTCGGAAAAAAATATGTGGTGCATGTGCTATTAGGAAACAAATCAGAACTCCACACAAAGCAGTAAGAGGCATCATCACTGAGAAGTGCCTAGATCTTGTTCACATAGACCTCATGGGACCAACACAGACTGAAAGCACTGAGGGAAAGAAATACATATTTGTGTGTGTAGATGATTTCTCTCGATACAGCTGGGTATACTTTC